TCTACACTCTACACTCTACACTCTACACTCTACACTCTACGCTCTACACTCTACACTCTACACTATACACTCTCACTCTACACTTTACACTCTACAGCTTCTTTAAATCACATTTTTCCCTTTAGATGTTTTGGACGGAATGAAGGAAATGTTTACTAGGACACAATTTGCTGTAGATCAGGGTGGATACTTTCCAGAGATAAAGGTATATAGATACTTTCCAGAGATAAAGGTAGATAGATACTTTACAGAGATAAAGGTAGATGAATACTTTCCAGAGATAAAGGTATATAGATACTTTCCAGAGATAAAGGTAGATAGATACTTTCCAGAGATAAAGGTAGATGAATACTTTCCAGAGATAAAGGTATATGGATACTTTCCAGAGATAAAAATAGATGGATATTTTTCAGAGATGAAGGTAGATAGATACTTTACAGAGATAAAGGTAGATGAATACTTTCCAGAGATAAAAGTAGATGAATACTTTCTAGATGTAAAGGTATATGGATACTTTCCAGAGATAAAGGTAGATGGATACCATCCAGAGATAAAGGTAGATGAATACTTTCCAGATGTAAAGGTATATAGATACTTTCCAGAGATAAAGGTAGATAGATACTTTACAGAGATAAAGGTAGATGGATACTTTCCAGAGATAAAGGTAGATAGATACTTTCCAGAGATAAAGGTAGATAGATACTTTACAGAGATAAAAGTAGATAGATACTTTACAGAGATAAAGATAGATAGATACTTTACAGAGATAAAGGTATATAGATACTTTCCAGAGATAAAAGTAGATAGATACTTTACAGAGATAAATAGATAGATACTTTACAGAGATAAAGGTAGATGAATACTTTCCAGAGATAAAGGTATATAGATACTTTCCAGAGATAAAGGTAGATAGATTCTTTACAGAGATAAAGGTATATAGATACTTTCCAGAGATAAAGGTAGATGGATACTTTCCAGAGATAAAGGTAGGTGGATACTTTACAGAGATAAAGGTAGGTGGATACTTTCCAGAGATAAAGGTAGGTGGACACTTTACAGAGATAAAGGCAGATAGATACTTTCCAGAGATAAAGGTATATAGATACTTTCCAGAGATTAAGGTAGATGGATACTTTCCAGAGATAAAAGTAGTTAGATACTTTACAGAGATAAAGGTATATAGATACTTTCCAGAGATAAAGGTAGGTAGATACTTTCCAGAGATAAAGCTAGGTAGATACTTTCCAGAGATAAAGGTAGGTGGATACTTTACAGAGATAAAGGTAGATGGATACTTTCCAGAGATGAAGGTATATAGATACTTTCCAGAGATAAAGGTAGATGGATACTTTCCAGAGAAATAAAGGTAGATGAATACTTTCCAGAAATAAAGGTAGATGAATACTTCCTAGATATAAAGGTAGATGAATACTTTCCAGAAATAAAGGTAGATGGATACTTCCTAGATATAAAGGTAGATGAATACTTCCTAGATATAATGGGTTGTGCATACTTTTTAAAAGAAAAGGACACTTTTAGAGATAAGTCTACATAAATTTTTTTTAAAATAAGTGGTGTGTAATATTGTTAAATCGTTTTCAACAAAAACAGAGATTAATGGAATAGATTAAGATTAATGAAAGGTTGTCTTCCTATAGCGTTATTCTGGTAATTATAGAATAATGGCAAATCTGTTTTTGCCATTTTTATTGAGGGATTCTCATTAAACTGTTTTTTTAGGCTCACCCGGAGAAGTTTATCCTGAAGCGGAGACCAGAGTTTAGGAAATAAAAATTCTAAAAATTTAAAAACCTAAATTAAATTCAAAGGAACTGAGTTTTGACACAAAACTGTGATTTTATAATCCCTATATCTTTGGAACCCTATGTTCCAAACCTTTAATATTTCAAACTTAGATGTAGTGACCAAACAGAATTCATAGTTTGAAATATTAAAGGTCTACAAAATCTGGTTCCAAAGATATAAGGGTAAGAAAATCAGAGTTTGTGACAAAACTCAATTCCTTTTCCACCCGAATGTAGTATTTGTTTATTTGTTGAAAAAAGCATCTTTGATGAAGTTCTCACGTTTAAAGAATTTTATAAATTGAGTTAAGGGATTGGTTAAAGATGCTCAGAGAGAATGGAAAATTTCTATACGTAATAACAGGTGTTTTAAACCTGACCTACCTGACCTACCTGACCTACCTCGCCTTCCTGACCTACTTGACCTACCTGAACTACCTGGCCTACATTACTTACCTGATCTACCTGACCTACCTGACCTACCTGACTTCCATGACCTCCCTGACCTACCTGACCTACCTGACCTACCTGACCTACCTGACCTTTCTGACCTATCTTACTTACCTGACCTACCTTACTTACCTGACCTACCTGACCTTCCTGACCTTCCTCACAAAAGATCAAATTATTTTATGTCACCCAATGTTAACTAACATATTTAGGGAGTCATGTTGATTTTGCCTCTCACGTAGCGTCCTATGCTCTGGGTGAAGACTGGATGGAATTGTTTGATATTGTAATATTCTTCGCTAGGAAACCTTCTTTTTTCATTGATAGGTAGGCCCAGGCTGCTAACCCAATCTAACTTTTTAAAGCATACTTTGGACGTACAAAGCTCTGATATAAGACTACAGAATTTTTTCCCACGGCCCCCAGGTTGTGCTGACCGCAGTGTTTAGCTTCCTTGTAGCCTGCAGTGCCTCTGATGCCCGACCTAAATAATTCACTAAAGTTTGATCTTTTCATTCATTTCGGTTTTAATTTACGGAATTTAAGTACTTACGGAGTTTTAATTTACGGAATTTTAGTTTTCCGAAGTTTTGTTCTTCCGTAGTTTTAATTTCCAGAGTTTGTATTTCAAGAGTTTGTTTTTCTAGAGTTTTTATTTCCGGAGTTTGTACTTCCGTAGTTTTAATTTCCAGAGTTTGTATTTCAAGAGTTTGTTTTTCTGAAGTTTGTTTTTCTAGAGTTTGTATTTCCGGAGTTTGTACTTCCGGAGTTCTAAATTCCGGATTTTGTGCTTTTGGAGTTTGCATTTCCGGAGTTTGTATTTCCGAAGTTTGTACTACCGAAGTTTGCATTTCCGGAATTGTTTTCCGTCTTTGTATTTCCGGAGTTTGTACTACCGAAGTTTGTATTTCCGGAGTTTGTACTACCAAAGTTTGTAAGTCAGGAGTTTGTATTACCGAATTTTATATTTCCGGAGTTTGTATTAGCGAAGTTTGTATTTCCGGAGTTTGTATTTCCGGAGTTTGTATTACCGAAGTTGTACTACCGAAGTTTATATTTCCGTAATTGTTTTTTCCGGGTTTGTATTTCCGGAGTTTGTACTACCGAAGTTTGTATTTCTGGAGTTTGTACTACCGAAGTTTGTAATTCCGGAGTTCGTTTTACCGAAGTTTATATTTACGGAGTTTGTATTAGCGAAGTTTGTATTTCCGGAGTTTGTCCTGGCATCTATTTTTAGATGTTATAATTTTCATCATTATCTACAAGGTACTAATGCAAGGAAAGTTAATTGCGGTTGTGTATACTTTGCGTACATATTGAAACCAGTTGCTTCTGGAATTTTTAAACAAGAATAGATGCATCAGTGTTCGTTTAGTATCCGAGGAGTATTAAAGCATTTAATTTTGATAATTTTGATAATTCGTACATGATAGTTTTCTATGACCAGAATATTTCATAAATTATTTTTGTGAAAATGGATTCCATGTCAGGCTGTGGAATCCGTCTTGTGTTTACTTTTCCGCCCAAAGACAGCACACTGCAGTACAAAAAATGCGTACACATACGAAATAACTTTCCTTGCATTAGTATCTTGATTATCCATCTGTCTGTATTTTTCCCTGCTGCATGATTGACATATTTTGACGTTTAATCAGTAAAAACCTGAAAACTCTTCCAATCTTTAACTTTAAGAAATCAGACAGCCATGATTCTCAAGTCTAATATGACTAAAGAAAATTTATAATTATTATAGGGTTCTGGAGAAATAAATAAAAAATAATAGGTTAAACTAAACCTAAGTTTCCTGCAGTACAAATGTATAAAGCAACCCCCCACAGCTCAACCAGGCTAAAAGGTGTATCGTGTAGTGTGTACACTGTTTAAAGAAGTTATCTTTGTTATCAACATGTATATTTATGTATCCATAGACACAACCAACTCATTACAAGAGTTGAGGGCCTTGCATAATGCTAATTAGTAAACCTATGCATTAACCACACAGTACTTAAGTTCAGTGGACTAAACGAGGATATGATATCCATAGACACAGTGTTTCGTCCTATATATATAAGTAGTTATTTTTTTTACTTTTTCAAGCTGCTGTTTTTTTCTCGGATCATTTCAGATATAAAAGATTCTTAAATATATATCATTAGAAAATTATAAATATGTTCAACAAAATATAATACAGGGATCATTAGAAATGATTTTAATTTGAATTTCTTTAAGTTAATCAACGGGACTGTATTTAAGCGTAATTTCAAGCAAAGTAATTAATTCTGATAATTCCTATATATTATAAACATTGAAATATAATTTATTCATACTTAATCAGACGAAGCTTTAACCCGGCATTGTATCTTTGTATGGAGGGTCACTTGAAATTACGTTTAGAGTTCCAGGTTTTGATTTGTTTAGGCGACCATTTTGGAAGTTGAATGGAGAGAAGGAAGTGGAGTCCTTTACTGGGTGGGATGAGCTTGGGACTCATCATTATTATTCCCAGGTACAGGTTTTACAGGTAGAAACCCATACTCTGCACCAATATAGGGGGTTCGAACTGTTGAACATCATATATTGTCTGTTTATGAAAACTAGGATTTGTTCTTAAACAGTGGTAAGCGATTATATCAAAACAATGAAGACGACTTTTGATTTAAATGTAGTTTTATATCAAGCTAGATAGCAGCATGGATACATATAAACATAGAAGTCAAGAGAAGCTTGCAATTAAAAAAACTGCTCTTTGATTACTTGTAAACTTGTAATTCATAAAAGCATGTTAACAATCAAAACTTAAATAAAAACGTCATAGTCGATGTATTTATATGATCGCCTACCACTGTTTTTATATGCTCTGAAGATTATAAGATTTACAAAAATCAAAATAGTAATTAAAATAATTTAATAATTTTAATATTTTTGTTTTCTATTTAAGGGGAACTGGCATGATCTCAACGAATTTTTTGAATACGCAACTGAATGGGAACCCAGCGCTAGTTTATACTTTGGTGATAACGTGCTTCAGGAATACTTGCTCACACAGTCACAGTTGTTTAAAACAATATTTTAGATAGATTTCAAATTTTGTTAGATCTAAGCTTGATCTCTAATAAACTCCTTGTCAATGTAAAGATCAATTTCCAGGTGATTATAAGGTCAAATTTCTTGTGAATCTAAAGGTCAAGTTCATTGTGAACTTTTTTACAAATCTTTAGAAAATTAAACCTAAGGTTGAAGCTATTTTTTGGCATCCTTATTGTCCAACAATATTAGATTAAGTACTGCACTTTTTTCTCTTTAAAGATTGTAGTGACTCATGACTTGATCCTATCCAGATTGTTCATAATAAACATGGGAGGGGGGGTGGGTTTATAATTGAGATATGGGAATGTAAAACATGTCTCTGTAGTCCAGTTTGTTATGGCCATTTTATTCTTAACACATTTTTTTAGGTTCAAAAAAAACGTTTAAAAAGTACGTCAGAGAAATGTTAAAAATTTTTCTTTTTTTTAAAAGTTTTTATATGTGACACTTTTTATTGCATCCATTTTTCAAGGGCTTTTTAAACTATGAATTTTAGCTCTGTAGCTTGGTTAATAAAAATATTATTGACTATTTTTTATTTTTTAAAACAGCCGTTTGACCGTCCACCTAATCCGATGAAAACAAAGGTTTTTGTTTGCAAAATTTTTTTACAACTATCAGGTTAAAAAAGTCAGAAAATTTGAGCGTTTAACAGCGTAAGTCGTTTTTAAGTTATGGAGAAAAATTACAGGGGGGGAGTAAAACATATCCCCCCCCTAATTTTGATAGGGTTAATCAAAAAGCAAATCCTCCCCTCCCCGCTCCTCCGAATATATTTGATAAATTATTCTTTTGGTTAGAATTAACTTTGCTCCTTTTAAAACCTTTGATGTTCTGGTGTTTAGGCTCGGCTCGGAAATATAATGATTTATATTTCCAGGAAATTGTTCAATTTGTAATTTTACTCATTTTCTGATTTATAGTTTGGTCTGTGCAGACTGTTATATAACTCCATTCTTTTATTCTTTGGGGGGGGGATTGAACCCATAGATACAAGATACATGATACATGATACATGATACATGATACATGATACATGATACATGATACATGATACATGATACATGGTACATGATACATGATGCAGGATACATAATACATGATACATGATACATAATACATGATACATGTACATGATACATGATACAGATTTATGATACATGATACATGATACAGGATTCAGAATACATGATACACATGATACACAGGATACACAGAATACAGCATGATGATACACGACTCAAGATTAGGATTTACAGGAGACACGATTTCTGGAATTAATTTTGAGCAAGGTTGGTCTGCAGGATATTCTGGCTCCGTGTAAATTTACGAAAACTATAGAAGTAGTTTCGGTTTCGGAGGAATTAATGGCAGAGGTATGTTTATTTCTAGAATAATTTTGAAAAAAATCATCAATTTTTGGTATTAATATTTTAATTTTGAGTGATTATTATGATAAGACCCAAAAAGTATAAAACTGTATTGACGATGATATAAAGTTGTCTTCTGAATAAATATCTTATTAAACCTACATAGCTTCGGAACCCAGCTTTGCTTTAAGTTTTCCCTAGAGTCAACTCACTTTACTTAGAACTGTTGAAGCAAACTAAAAACATTCCCGTTGTTCTACAAAGTTTCCCAACCAAAATGTGAGGCAAATCGGTCAAGGGTTTCCTGAGTTAGGATCAGACATCCAAACAAACAGAGAGACAAACAAAGATTACTACTTTATTAATCAGGGTATGGTCGGATACCCAGCTGAGCATGAACATACAAGTGATCTAGTTTCATCAGTCTGGGGATCATATTTCTACTATCCAGAGAAAAAGAAGGTTAGAGGATTTGTCCCCTGAAGTTTCATCCTTTGTGGGTAACCCTATATCTAACATTTAGAGTAAAGAAATAATCACAGACTAGATATACACAAACTGGTCATAAGCTCTGCTTGGATAGGCTAAGCAGGCCTTTAGTGTCCCAGCACGCCATGCTACATTTCCACGAAAGGGTTTTGACTTCAATCAAACGGCCACCTTTTGTTGCATATAATACCCATTCAGGAGTTAACTTTTACATTTTTCAAAGAAATAATATAACTTTTAACATAAAACATTACATTTTTGAGTTTGGTGTATTTTTGAAGGTTTTGTTTTTCGTATTCAAAGGATCCTTAAATATCCCTGAATACAGACGTCTGTTTTTTGGTCGCGTACTCCAGAATAGAAACCTGCTGTGGAAAATATCGCATTTTCAGCGTTTAATAGATCTCTGTATTCTCTTATCTCTGGATATATTATTCGATATACTTTACTTTCTACTGTGTAGGGTGATGTACTGAGACGGGCTGGATCATTTGCTAATAGAAAACAATCATCCGGAGACTTAGGTAGGTTTAGAACTTGCGCAATCATTTAAAATGGTATTTTATATAATCTGTTTTAAAAACTTTATACTTACCTCAACTTTTTTAATACTTGTATTGTTGCAACTCAATGATGTAGACATTTAATATTTTGATCTGTGAATTCTGCTAGATCTGCTAGATCTGCTAGATCTGCTAGATCGAATGGTCAAAGCTTGGAATATCCTGAATTTAAACCATCAAGTTACAGAGATATAGGGACTGTACCATGAAAGTGCCAGAACTAGTTTATCCTTTAAATCAGTATGATAATAAGGAATATAGTAGCTTTTTTATATTGTTCTGTTTAAATAATTGTCACTTCAGTTAGATTTGCGCTAATATGCATTAATGGTAGAGCTAAACGTGACAGATGTTTTCCTTTTGTCGAAGTCTGTACGCTACCACTTAACTTAGAATCTAAAAACCAAGCTAAGAACATTCTCGTGGGTCTCCCGAGTTCCCCAATCAAAATTTGAGGCAAATTGGTCCAGGGGTTCCTGAGTTATGATCGGACAAACAAACAAACAGACAGACAAACAGAGACTACAACTTTATATATAGATTTATTAATACAGGAAAGAATGAAGGGTGTAGACCACCGAGCACAGCTGCAGCAGGAAATTATTTCTTTTAAAAAAACTTTATTAATTAAAAAAACTTGGAAAGTTGTTTCTAAAATTCTCGGATTTGTTTTTTCTTTTATTTTGAACCGAAACAAGGATTTTATTCTGGAACTTATAATGGATAACAGCTTGTCATTTTTTTTCAGATTAATATATTACAGGTTTTAATCATAACCCTTTTTACTGAAAAGCTAATATTAATAAGAGGAAGAAAATTTTTTTGAATTTCTAATATGTAACAAAATATATAGAAGCTCCGAGGTCTCAAAAGGGCACCAAGAATGCCGCAAAAATATTTGACCTTCTCCAAAAGGTTGTGCTTATAGTTGAGTGTGAGTCAAATGGGCATGCACCCCCCCTCCCACCTGAGGCCGAATTTAAAGAATTTGAGCCGCGGCATTTTAAGCAACGGATCAAATATGGTGGGTTCTACTGAAAATCGTATTCAATGTTTCAAGATTTAAACCGGCGCTTAATTGAAACCGGTTTTGTGGGATTTGAGACGCGACTCAAAATCATTAAATTCAGACTCAGCTCTGGTTGCTCAGAAGTTATTTCCTGACTCAATGTATAGAAATGAATTGATAAAGATGAAGTAAAGAAGACAGTAAATCTACGCCGAGTATCTAGTATGCGATCTCAGGGAGAAAATAGTCCTCAGTATCTACCTAAAGCTGGCAAAGGTATTATTCAGTCATCATTCTGATTTTTATTTATTAAAGTGAGTGTCTGGCTAGACATGGTAGTTGAGATGAGAGATCAGTATTGTAGAGAACAACTTTTAGAGATCATTTGAGACCTAGAGAATGTTTGTACGGTGTATAAACAAAAAGAGCGCAAATCAGATCTTTAAAATTATCTTTGGCGCACGCCCCCAGGCAGCTTGTGACGCGGCACAACCTGGTGAGATTAAACATTTAAGACTGAGGGTTAACGCCTTTGTACACAACAGTTTTCACCTCATGTACATGTACAATGTTAGGCACTTTCCCAATGGCATCCCCAAGCGGCAACTTCTCAAATGTATTTTCCCGAGTGGCAACTTCCCAAATGTGCAATTTTACCAAGCGTCAACTTCCCAAGGCTGTCCTAAATGCAGCGCTCGGCCTCTTGTTTGTTCTAGCCGTAGTGCTCGCCTCCCAACCCATTGCAGGCTGCGGTGCCTCATGAAGACATAATTCCTAACCTTTGGGAAGTTGCGGCTTGGGAAATTGCAGATTTGGGAAGTCACTTGAAAAGTTGTCCATTGGGGAAGTCACCTTTGGGAAAATACCTTTGGGAAAATACCTTTGACCTATTTTCCAGGTACGCGAGCACCAGGTTGGGCTTCTGTACCTCCTCTTCCTCCAGGGCAACCAAAAAGTAGAAGAACATCAATAGATCAGGTACATAATGCATACTCAGACCAGGTTTTATAAAAATTGAAACCAAATTGAACTACGTAGATGTAGTTGAACCACATGGGTCCAGTTCAAGAGAAGTGGTTCAAGAGAAGTGGTTTAACTATAGCTGAGTAGTTAAAATATTGCTTAGCTTTTTATTAATTGTTGTCCTTGATATTTGCAATAATAGAGTCATCAATATCCCTTTTTAAGAGACTGTAAGTGTAATTTCAAGTTAGAATTATAGATCAATGTTTTTGTTTCTTTAAACTGTTTATTTTTGTTTGCAGTTTCACAGAAATAAACACTTTTTGAGTTAGAAAAACGACGGTATCTTTCACACTTTTGATCTGATTAAGGTTTCAAGAGAATCACTGTTAATCGGGCATGTTCATGTCATTGTCATGTCATTGTCATGTCATTGTCATGTCATTGTCATGTCATTGTCATGTCATTGTCATGTCATTGTCATGTCATTGTCATGTCATTGTCATGTCATTGTCATGTCATTGTCATGTCATTGTCATGTCATTGTCACGCAGGATAACTTAAAATGACGCGTACAGTCCTTTTACACTGGTTTGTATCAGAGTTTAAAGCTCTAAACAATTATAATTGATTTTATCCAACGCATGAATTTTACTATTTTTAGGGGGTTGAGGATAGCTCTGGGCCTCCTAGTAGGGTCGGAACACCAAAGCAACAGGTTAAAAAAATTTTAGACAAAACAAATATGTATATTTATATATATAATATTATTGTATTATTTAGGAAAATGAGACACCAACACCTGAAGACCCAGAACCAGGAATAAAACAAAATTTGACTTTTTGCTTTGAACTTTAGTTTAGTTTAGTTTAGTTTTAGTGTAGCCTTTAAGAGGCTGTTCTTGTAATTTGTAGTGACATCCCATTTCAAGAGGGCCATCAATTTCCGATTCGTAACCCTCCCTTTTTTCATTATTGTGATACATTTCTTTAACATTTCCCGAAAGCTTTCAATAATCTGAAAAAATAGCAAATTTTCAAAATGGAGTGCGTCTTAAATTTAAATTAAAAATACAATTTTTTTCAAAAATAATAAAAATTATTTTAATTTTGTTTTATCAGTGCGGGGTTCATCGAGGATAAATACTTTGTGGGGCCTCTGTATCAGGAATATATTATTTTTTTTTATAAAAAAAAGTTTATTGTGGGACTGCAATAAAACACTTTAAAAGGGAGTGACCGGCAATGTATGGTGGTTGAACTGAATATGTAGTATTGTGGACAAATTTTTAGGTTTCATTTAAGACATATAAAATTGGTCTACGACCAAGGGCGTATATAGGGGGGGCAAGAGGGCATTCCCCCAACCTAAACCTGTAAAGGGGGAGGGGTGTATGGGATTATTTCAAATGTTTATGGATTTATTTCAAATGTTTTTGAATTTGCTTCAAATGTTTATGGGCTTATTTCAAATGTTTATGGGATTTATTTCAAATGTTTATGGGATTATTTCAAATGTTTATGGGATTATTTCAAATGTTTATGGGCTTATTTTAATTTTTTATAAGATTATTTAAAATGTTTATGGGATTATTCTGAATGTTTATGGGATTATTTCAAATGTTTATGGGATTATTTCAAATGTTAATGGGAATATTTCAAATGTTTATGGGATTAGTTCAAATGTTTATGGGATTATTTCAACTGTTTATGGGAATATTTCAAATTTTTATGGGAATATTTCAAATTTTTATGGGAATATTTCAAATAAATATATATGAGTAGAGAGCATGCGAAGATGTGTATCCCTGATGTGGACGTGATGGTGGATTATCCAATAGATTATAAATATCCAATATTTATGAAGGATTCTGCAGGAACAGAGATCATGTCAGGATTCTTTCCAGCAGATCCTTTATCTCTTCATACTCCTCCTCATCCTAGATGACAAGCTCATTCATCCTCTCCTCATCTTTTATCCTTCATACTCCTCCTCATCCTTTATCTCTTTATACTACTCCTCATCATAGATGACAAGCTCCTCCATCCTCTCCTCATCTTTTATCCTCATCCCGGATGACAAGCTCATCCATTCTTCTCCTTTATCCCTCATACTCCTCCTCATCCTTTATCTTTCATACTGATCCTCATCCTAGATGACAAGCTCATCCATCCTATCTTCATCCTTTATCCTCCATATTCTTCCTCATCCTTTATCCTTCATACTCCTTCTAATCCTTGATGACAAACTTATCCATCCAAACTCCCCAAGACTTCCGTGCTTACTTTTAAATGAAGTGTCTATGTAGTTTTATGTGATTTACATTTTCCATTGTTAAAATTTATAAAAAGTGGATATCGTCGTTTTTCTGTCTAATTAATTAATTCTCAAAATTTTCTTCATTTTCTTTGATGCATGTAAATCCGCAAGTCAATGCAGAGAACAGCAATTGAAAATAATCATTTCTGATGGAAAAACGACAAGGATAACTCCATTATTTTTGCTCAATGAAAGGTTTAAAGGGAACTATTGCAAATCTGACATGTAGTTCCTTTAATCATCTCAAGAACATTTTCATTTTCCTAAATCATCTCCATCTTTCATCTTTTAATCATATTTTTAACCCTCCTCACGTCTTTTGTACTTACTATTTCTTTATTCCCATAATTCAACGTTATTTTGTAGTCACGGAAGTTCTTAGTAAGATTTTGACTCTACAGGAGACCACCGGCGGGATTTCAATTTCACTGGAGAGGTTTAAAAATCGATATTTACAAGTTTTTATGCAGGGTGATTTATATTTGACTGGAGGGATTCAGATATCCTTCCTGGAGGTTTAAACCTCCAGGAAGGATATCTGAATCCCTTCGGTGGAATTTTAAACCTCCAGAAAGGTCGATCTGAATCTCTCCAGTGGAATTTCAAACTTTCAGGATGGATATCTGAATACCTCCAGTGAAATGTTAAACCTCCATAAAAGTCGATTTGAATCCCTCCAGTGGAATTTTAAACCTCCAGGAAGAATATCTGAATCCCTCAAGTGAAATTTAAACCCCCCAGGATGGATATCCGAATCCCTCTAGCGGAATTGTATACCCAGCCCTCAGGAAGTATATTGAAATCCCTCCAGTGGAATTTTTAACCTCCAGAAAGGTCTATTTGAATCCCTCCAGTGGAATTTTAAACCTCCAGGAAGGAAACCTGAATCTCTCCAGTGGAACATTAAACCTCCAGGAAAGATACATGAATCCCTCCAGTGTAATATTAAACCCCCAGGAAGGATATCCGAATCCCTTCAATGGAATTTTAAACCCCCAGGTATGAAATCTAAATCCCTCCAGTGGAATTTTAAACCCCCAGAAAGGATATATGAATCCCTCCAGTCGAATGTAAATCACCCTTCGTGAAAGTTTAAACTTGTAAAAAGCAATTTTCCAAACCCCTCCCTAGTGAAATTGAAATTCCTCCAGTTATATCCAGTGGAGTCAAAATCTTACTACGAACTTCTTTAAGTCGTTATTTTATGATTTTATTATAATTGTGATTATCAATTTGTAGCAAATAAACAACTTTTATAGCTTCTTTTAGCTTTACGCCACTGAATACTTTTTTATGTTATTGTAAAAGAACGATAAATTTAACTTTAAAAATATTAATTTTCCATAAAATCATGAAAGTAGTATTATCACAAAAATGTCATGTATTCTCTATTCAGTTCCTTTTATATATTGTTAAGTCTGATGTTTGCAACACATAAATGAATAAAAACGTATCCACCTCATAATTTTGATTGGTATCCAATTTTTTTCTTCAAAAAAGGTTCCTAGTAAAGCGTTAAGTTTGATTTAACTTAGTTCTGTTTTACAAATTTAGAGTTAAATAACGATGCATTTTTGATTATTAATCATCAAACTTCTTGTCTCAGTGTTCTGCTAAAAAATCCCTTTAACTTTAACTTTAACTTTAACTTTACCTTTAACTTTAACCTTAACTTTAACTTTAACTTTTATTTTAACTTTAACTTTAACTTTAACTTTAGTTTTAACTTTAACTTTAACTTTAACTTTACCTTTACCTTTAACTTTAACTTTAACTTTAACTTTAGCGTTAACTTTAACTTTAAGTGTACCTTTAACTTTAACTTTAACTTTAACTTTAACATTAACTCTAACTTTAATTTAACTGTTTCTTGCCAAAATCTTAATTTTTGAATCCTTAGATTGTTGCAACCAGAGTCTAAAACTAAAGAACAAAAAGTTACGACTTAAATGTTAAGCTGCAACTTTAATGCTACTTCTGAATTAATTTAAACCTGAATTTTAACCCTGGGTTTAAATATTTAGTTCGCCAAAATCAACGAGTTAAAATTTAAACCCAGGGTTAAAATCTTGCAAAGTTATAAGATATATTGTGACGATGCAAGTGCTCCTTAACACGTTAAATACGTTTTTGTCTTAAGGCATAAATACAGAATTGAAAGTGAGAGTTCGTCATATTTAAAACCTAAGCGGTAATTTCCTAGTATACGATTTTTGGACCCCCCCCAGTAACTCTCTATTTAAAGGAGGATAGCATGTCCGATTCACAACGGTGTCCTTAAAACCTTTGTCTCTGCACAATTGAGGAATATATTTTTGTCTGAAGAAAAACTAAAATAACTATATCATTGTTGCTATTCACATTAAGGTTTTGAATCTGACCTGCCACCCTGGAAATAAAGAGTTACTTACAATTACGTGTACAGTCCCTTTAAATAATCAGTGTAGTTTGGTAGATGTGGAGAAATGAGGCCTGGAGCTGTAATCAACCTTGACCCTGAGTTTAATAACAGGCAGTTTATATATTGGCCTGATCCTTAATAATAGGCACCACCATGGTAAACCATAGTTATATAACCTTCATCACTCTAACTAGGCATCTAACTAACTCATTTTTTAATTAGCCAGCATATCAACTTTCTAACTATAGCTTTTTAACTATATCTAACTATAAACTTTCTTACTATCTAAATTTATCACTTGTTCACTATCTAACTATAGACTTTCTAACTATCTAACTTCTAAACTTGTTTACCATCTAACATAGACTTTCTAACCATATAACTTCTAAACTTGTTAACTATAGACTTTCCAATTATCTAAATTTATCACTTGTTCATTATCTAACTATAGACTTTCTAACTATGTAAACTTATATTAACTATCCAACTATGAAATTTCTAACAATTTAAACTTATAACTTTTTAACTATCTAACTATAAACATTTTAACTATCTAAACTTATAACTATAAATTTTCTAACTATTTAAATGTATAGCTCTTTAACTATCTAACCATAAACTTTCTAAATATCTGAACTTACAACTTGTTCACCATCTAACTTTAGACTTTCTAACTTTCTAAATTTTAAAATGTTCAACTTTATAATTCTATAACTTTAAACTATCTAGATTTATAATTATCTAACTTTTAAGCAATCTTATTATTTAGTTATCCAACTGTCTAACTATCCAACTGTCTAACTATCCAACTGTCTAACTATACAACTATCTAACTATCTAACTATCCAACTGTCTAACTATCCAACTGTCTAACTATCCAACTGTCTAACTATCCAACTGTCTAACTATCCAACTGTCTGTCTAACTATCCAACTGTCTAACTATCCAACTGTCTAACTATCCAACTGTCTAACTATACAACTTTCGATTTAAAATTTTTAAGTATCCAACTTTTTTAATATTATCTAACTTTCTAACTTTATAACTTTCTAACTATCTAACTTTCTATATAACTTTGTAACTATCTAACTATATATCTACCTAACGATATATCTATATAACTTTCTAACTACATAACGTATTAACTATCTAACTATTTAACTTTCTATACTATCTCCAAATTTCCAAATACCTATTAAAAGAACTATAAATATATGATTGCTAAATATAGTAAATATAGTAAATATTTAATTATCAAGTTTTTCTACATATCTATATAAATTATGAAATACGGCCAGGTTTGAAAAAGAAAACAAAGGGTGTTTCTTTACGTTTTCACATTACTTTTTAAATAATGAACAAACTATAGTAATTATAATTTAAATATTTTAAACATAATCCATGTTTAATCCATAACACCAGTTTTTATCATAATTATAATTTAAATATGATAAACATAATCCATGTTTAATCCATAGCAACAGTTTTTATCATAATTATAATTTAAATATGATAAACATAATCCATGTTTAATCCATAGCAACAGTTTTTATCATAATTATAATTTAAATATGATAAACATAATCCATGCTTAATCCATAGCAACAGTTTTTATCATAATTATAATTTAAATATTTTAAACATAATCCAT